CTGATAATTTTGTCTTCAATTTTGGAACTGATTTATATAACATTCTTCCAATTGCCATGTGATGTAACCTTCCGATATTTTTATTTGTTGATTCCACATATATACATGTATGATACGGTCCTTTATCGCATTCTCCAAATCGTATTTTATTGTCTCGAGTATAGTTACTAGACTTTACTTCATTCATCTCAACCGTTTTTTCACAAACCATGTTATTGTTAATAGAATTTGATTCATTCTGATTAACATTTTCTTCATTATTCGCATTAGGTACACTATCAGCTTCTTCCGTTACTTTATTATTACTTCTGCGTTGTATAGCCTTTACCTTTTTATTTATTGTATCATTACTTTTCTGAACTTCAACTTTTGAATTGACTCCACTTTCTAATCTTTTGACTTTGTTATTTTTTGCGCTAGTCACCTTTTTAATGAATTTCATTGTCCTGTTTTATTATTAAATAAAACTAATTTTATTTTCTTCATTACTATTTACATAGTTAGAATCCCTCAGCTTTATTTCTTTTTTATTAACTTTTGTGAGATTAGTTTTATTAATTCCAATATTGATTTTATTAGATTTATTATCTAAATTGTGAATACTTTCACAACTACTTAAATCTATTTCTTGATCATCTATACTACAATCCATACTACTTTCATTATTAAAATCTTCAAGGTAATTTACCACATGTATTGCTTCTGCAATAGTTGCGCCTAAATCTGAATGTTGTGTAATACCTTTATCAGGCGGCCGTCCGCCCTCTTGCCCGTATGGGCCCGACTCCATTGTTTGTTTATCAGCTCACTATCAAAAACACAACAGGTAAAAGGTTTACTTACACTAAACTTCAAAAAATATATATTTATTTAGAACGATGTGCACACTTCGAATGCTCACACAATACGCTGTATTTGATATTTTGCAAGAAATATTTCACATGCAGTGACAGTCCTTCGGAAGTGGCAAACAAATTTCTTCACTATATCGGTCTCACTCTTTATCACTTTTAGGCCATCATTTACTAGAGCTGTGAACCGGATCCGGGTCCAGCGCGGTTCCGGTTCCGGAACCGGTTCTGGAACCGGTTCTCAAATTTTGGAAACCGTCGACGGTTCCATTTTTTTTAACTTCCCGTAGGGTAAGTTATTGTAAAGGGCCGAAAATCTAAATTGAAAATTTTTACATTTCTCGACGTTTTGAAGGTTTCTGAACATTTTGGCATACCTCAGAAAAAAAGGATGTGTGTGTGTGTGTGTATGTATGTATGGATACAATTTTTCGTCCACGTTTTCGAGCGCACGGATCAACCGATTTGAATGGTTCAAAAAACATTCGATTCCTATCGATAGGAAGATGTGCTTATTAGTTTTTGGAAAAGGCAGGTCCAGCCGATTAGGAGATACGAAGCCAAGAGTGCAGAAAATAGAAATTGAGTTTTTGAGAGATCGGAGCGTCCGATTTGAATGATCCCAAAAGCATTCAATTCGTAATGACGGGAAGAAGGGTAGGTTAGTTTTTGGCAAAGTTTTGGAGATACAGAGCTAAATGTGCAAAAAATGGCAGTTTTTAAGAGAACTAAGCGTCCGATTTGAATGATTCCAAAAACTTTAACAAAATAATTGATTCTGAAAAAAAAAATTTTTTGCTTCAAAATTTTGTGAGCTGTTGTTCATTCAAAACCTTTTCTTAAAAAAATTTAAATCGATTTTGAATATTACTATTCGAAAAATTAGGGAATGTACTGATTAGTACATCGAACTGGTATTTTTTTCGTAATCAACCGTTAAAATATTTTTGTTCACGATTTTAATTAAATCTACAACGATTTTTTACCAATAATAATAATGAATTATAAATTAAGTACATTTCAGTTCAATATTCAGCTTTAGGAATTTATAAATTTATTAATTTTGTTTAATAAATGGTTACCGAATATGTATACTTAACTTATGTACAATTGTACCCAACAGTTTGTATTTGGGCAGAAAGAGAGATCGGAACTTTTGCGAATGCTTGCTTGAAAGGGACAGAATAAGGGATGAACTGCCGCTGTTCATCGCATATTCTGTCCTTTAAAGCATTCGCAACACAGATAAACAGACCACATGCGAAGAATTTTTTTTTATAGATAGGGAAAGAAGACGTGTTGCGACACAATATAAAAAATTCAACATTGTTATATGTATTAGCCTGAATCTTTTCATTGCGAGCCATCAGTCTTTAGCCCATAAATATTGATTTTAATGACTTCTCCAAATCATAATTTGACACTCGTTTTCAGAAAGAACCCCAACTATTTTCAATAGACAACAAGAGTCGCATTTCGTTAATCCGTCTAAATTATTATTTCTGAAACTAAATATTTATCCATTTCAACAACATTTCAAACGATATAGAAGTTAATACAAACACTTCTATTCTACTTTTAAAATTGTCATTTTTTTTTAAAATAAAATCAGTTTATGTAACATATATTAGTCTATGTTTCAAGTATACGTATATCTTCTATATATATAAAAATAAGTCGGGTTTTCCTTCCTGACGAAATAACTCCAGAACGCGCGAACCGATTTCGACAATTTTACATTCGTTGGAAAGGTCTCGGGCTCCGCAAGGTTTATAGCTAAGAAAATTTAAAAAAAAATTCAACAGAAAAGCGGAAAACATATTTTTCTTTTTTTACATGCGGCGTCATCTCGTACTTAGCATGTACTACAAACCAAACCGCAGTCGGTAGATGGCGCCGGTAGATATATTGTTTGACATCTCAATGTTCACCGTTCAGTTAAATTCAGGTGACAAACCGGCATTGTGTTTACAGTGAAATTGTGCAAAAAAGTTAAATAAGTTATTCTTTTCCGTATATCACGTGTTTTGTGCAAATTTTTGTATTTAAAGCAGGCGTTTGTCTTTAAGGTGGTAAGTTAAACTGTGTAAATTATGTGGATAGTGCATTTGAGTTTAAATTCACCACTCTGTCCATAGTCTGAAATGCCTATAGGACGACGTGCGAACATCGGTCGCCGCACAAGACATGCAAGCCAGCAGCAAGTGTATTTACTAAACTTAAGCGAAGGCAGACAAAATATAATAAGACAAAATGCCCGGTTAAGACAACGCATCAGTACACGTAGATCATTGACATCATACAATCGCTTGGCATTCCAGTATGATCCCACTGCAAACTACAGTGATGATAAAAATTTCGCTATTGGACCAATGACGACTATATGCCGATATTGCAATGCGTTAAAGTTCAAAAGAGAAACGGCTGGATTGTGCTGCGCAAGTGGAAAAGTAAAACTGGATCCATTACTTGCACCACCAGTGCCACTGAAATCATTGTTTGATGGAAGTGACCCCGATTCCAGCCATTTTCTTCAACACATCATTCAATACAATAACTGCTTTCGCATGACTTCCTTTGGAGCTAATATCATTTAAGAAGGCGGCTTCATGCCGACTTGCAAGGTAAAAGATACAACGCACATAACCAATTACTCACACCAACACAATGAATTGCACACCACACACTACACCATCACACGATCAGAAGTTACACCGTATTCTTCAACTAATGATTGTTTGCAATTACAGATACAAGGACAAATATACCATTTGCATGGTTCAATGGTGCCAACACCAAATGAACAGCATCAATTTCTGCAAATATATTTAATTTCGTCGATGGTGGATCAGCTGAATGTGCGGTGCTATATGCAGGAAGAGTTAAAGTGACGAGTTATTGAACAGTTGCAATCATTTTTTCACGCTAATAATGCTATGGTTAACATGTTCAAAACAGCATTGGAACGAATGCCATCAGATACGCACAAATTTATCATAAGAGCGGATTGTACCCCAAGAGGTGAACATGTGCGAAGATTCAATGCACCCACCGTTAATGATGTTGCTGCAATTATTGTTGGCGATCCAACTAAATCGCGAGACATTGTCGTTCAGCGAAGAAGCAATATCATGCATCGCGTAAACGAGACACATCGTTTGTACGACGCGTTACAATATCCAATCATTTATTGACAAGGGCAAGACGGTTACGACATCACGTTGAAGATGGTCGATCCAATTACAGGTGCAATATTAACACACTAATTATTTTTATTATTGCTATTATTTGTTGCCATTAACAATTCATTTCATTTTGCATTTTCAGGCTTATCAACGAATAAAAATCTAAGCGCTATGAAATACTATGCATATCGTATGATGATTCGTTCACGTGAGGAGAATGTCATTCTGAAGTGCCGTCGGCTATTCCAGCAATTCGCTGTCGACATGTATGTCAAAGTCGAGACCGAACGTTTAGCGTTCATTCGATTCAATCAGGCAAAGCTACGATCTGAGGACTATATACACTTGCGAGATGCTATTCATTCAGATGGTGATGTTCAGAAAATTGGACGTCTCACGATTCTCCCATCATCTTATACCGGAAGTCCACGCCACATGCACGAATACGCTCAAGACGCTATGACGTACGTGCGACATTATGGAACTCCGGATTTATTTATTACGTTCACTTGCAATCCGAAGTGGACGGAAATTGAACGTGAGTTGGAAATAGGCCAAAAACCGCAAGATCGCCATGACATAATAGCCAGAGTATTTCAGCAAAAACTTCAAGGTTATGATGGATGTGCTTACAAAGTATCGAGTTTTTGGTGACACACGTTGTTATATGTACTCAGTGGAATGGCAGAAGCGTGGACTACCGCATGCTCATATCCTAATTTGGTTGCTCAATAAATTACATTCAAATGAAGTGAATGACATATCAGCTGAAATTCCTGATCCAGTCACTGATCCCCATCTACACGACATTGTGACGACACAGGTGCATGGACCGTGCGGTGCAATTAAATCCATTATCGGCTAATGGAAAGTGCACAAAACGATATCCGCGACCGTTAGTTGCCCACACATTTACAACGAACGATGGATATACAGTTTATTCGTCGGCGTTCAAAAGAAGATAATGGTCGAACTATCAAAGTTAAAGTTCAAAATCTTGCATCGCTTGCGCATTCAAACTAATAATCCTGATATCCAAATAACCGATAAAATCTACAATGAAGGATTGATTCTGATTGAGAATCAATGCTTGACTATTGCAAACAAGCTACTAATTGAAGTAGGAATGATTGCGCCAAATCGATCGATGCACGATGCATTCAACCAAGAATTAAATCGAGAGCTGCAATACAATGTTGATACATTGCAAGAATTCGTTCGAATTAATGTGCCGTTGCTGAATGAACAGCAAAAACAAGTATACGAAACATTAATGCAAGCGGTGGCCAATAATACTGGTGGTCTATTCTTCCTGGACGCACCTGGAGGAACAGGGAAAACATTTGTCATTTCATTGATTTTGGCCACTATTCGATCAAGATGTGACATAGCTTTGGTGTTAGCATCATCTGGAATTGCAGCGACTCTTCTAGATGGAGGTCGTACTGCACATTCTGCACTTAAGTTGCCACTCAATTTAAACACAATTGATACTCCAACATGCAATATTTCCCGATCCAGTGCAATGGGAAAATTGTTGACGCAATGCAAGCTCATTGTTTGCGATGAGTGCACAATGGCGCACAAGAAATCACTTGAAGCACTTAACTTTACACTGAAAGATCTTCGGCGAAATAACAACATCTTTGGCGGCTTGATGATATTGTTGGCAGGCGATTTCAGGCAGACGTTGCCAGTAATTCCCCGTGGAACGCCTACAGATGAATTGAATGCTTGCCTGAAAGCATCACCGTTATGGAATAACGTAAAAACATTATCGCTAACCACTAATATGAGAGTTCAACTTCAAAATGATCAAAGTGCTGCACAATTTTCCAAACAATTGTTAGCTGTTGGAAATGGGAAAGTCCCAGTTGATGCGACATCTGGATTAATTACTCTTACCAATGACTTTTGCCGATTTGTAGACTCTCAATTAGAACTTATTGAAAATGTTTTCCCAAACATTAGCGAAAATTATCAGAATTATGCTTGGTTAAGTCAACGAGCAATTCTTGCCGCAAAAAATAATGATGTGCACGCATTGAATTTCGCCATTCAGTCAAAAATTGCTGGCGATTTGGTGACATACAAATCCATTGATTCCATAACAAATCCCGATGATGTAGTAAATTATCCAACGGAGTTTTTGAACGCTCTGGAGTTACCAGGATTTCCACCACATAACTTGCAACTCAAAGTTGGCACTGTTATAATGACATTGCGTAATTTGAATCCACCGCAACTTTGCAACGGTACTCGACTTTCAGTAAGAAGACTTATGCCGAATTTGATTGAGGCAACCATTATTAACGGAAAGTACGCAGGTGAAAATGTATATATTCCTCGAATACCAATGATTCCGACTGGTCTTCCGTTTGACTTCAAACGATTACAATTTCCAGTTCGCCTTGCGTTTGCAATGTCAATCAACAAGTCGCAAGGTCAATCGCTTAGTGTTTGCGGTATAAATTTAGAAAATCATTGTTTTTTGCATGGCCAGTTGTACGGTGCCTGTTCACGAGTTGGGAAACCATCCGCTTTGTTTGTGTTAGGCCAAAAAACAAAAAATGTTGTTTACCAAAAGGCTCTTCAATAAAACATATAATTTGCAGATTCACTTTCTTTTACTTAGAGAACTTCAACTCATTTTTGTAATCAAAATAAATTCATTACTGTTGTGTAATAAAATCAAATTTTTCCTTTTCAAATATAAACCAAACAAAAAATTTCTTCATCTTTCTTACGAAACCATCTGGTGGCGAAACGGAGTTCGTCGGGTTTGCTAGTTATTCTATATATTTGTTATATAATATGAAACACTATTTTAAAATATGCAATATTTCAAAATTAATTAGCAAACTCGAAGGAATTTTTGAAATTTGTTGTTTTACGATTTATGAGTCGATGTACAATTGCCAGGCTCTAAAAGTACGCTTCTGCTTTGAAATCTTTAGATATATACTCGTATGTATTAGTACATTTACTAATATTATGATCATAAGGTCCACTTGCTCCCTGACTGCAAGAGTCGAATTACATAATGGGAAGAGCTTAGGTATAAAAATAAGGTTAGCAAAGTATGAAATTTTTATATTTTTATGAAGTTACCAATTTAGAAATAAAATTACTTTTTATGAAGTAAACTATTTATTTCAATTAAACTAAGGCGTTTTGTTGTAATACTTTTAATATGTTATTTTTTTTAATACTATATGCAGCCAGTTTTGTAAATTCTCCTGATCAAAAGAAACCGCCTCTTGCTATGGATATCGAAAACTTCAATTGAGAAACTAAAAACTAAAGAAACTAAAAATATGCTTCAAATTTATTGGTTTATGAAAAAGTTTATAATTATTTATTTAAAAGTTTATGAAAATTACATATAACCTAATAATGAAAGCAGACTAAATATTATTCGAATGAACAATTACCAATTTGAGAATTGCATTCATGGCAAACAAATATATAACTAAATAGTAATGCACAAAAAAGTATTAATTATAATTATATTAAAAAATTCAAAGGGTTACAAAAAAAATTTCAAGAACAAAAAGCGAAACACGTAGCTTGAAACGGATGTTTGTGAGTGAATAGAAAAACTAGTGGGGTGTATGGCATCGTGCCTTAAGGCAAATTGCTGGAACTTCCTGTACCGTAACGAAATGTTCGAGGAATACTGAATGTTTTCAAATAGATTATTATTAATATTGTAACATTGTCTAATAATTATAAGAATTATATAAACTAAATTGCAAAGTTGAAATTATTTGTTTGAAGTATATTAGAACTATAGTCAGAATTAAAAGTAAAATCTGAATTATTTTTGATATACAAAAAAAAAAAAATTTTGAAAAAAAAAATTTGAAACAAAATGTTTTTTTTTCCAAAATAATTATTTTGTTAAGACAAGCAGAATTTTCTTTGAATCATTTAAATCGGACGCTTAGTTCTCTCAAAAACTGCCATTTTTTACACATTTAGCTTCGTATCTTCGAAATGGCTGGGCCTGCCTTTGCCAGAAACTAATAAACACTTCTCCCAATCATTACTAATTGAATGTTTTTTAGATCATTCAAATCGGATACTCCGTTCTCTCAAAAACTCGATTTCTATTTTCTGCACTCTTTGCTCCCTATCTCCGTAACGGCTGGACCTGCCTTTGCCAAACATTAATCAGCTCTTTTCCCTATCAATAGAAATCGAATGTTTTTGAACCATTCAAATCGGTTGGTCCGTGCGCCCGAAAACGTGACTGGAAATTTGTATCCATACATACATATACACACACATCCATTTTTCTGAGGTATGCCAAAATGTTCAGAAGCTTTCAAAACGTCGAGAAATGTAAAAAATTTCAATTTCGATTTTCGGCCCATTACAATAACTTACCCTACGGGAAGTTAATAAGAAAAAAGTAGCCGGACTTTTTTCCGGAGCGGTCTGGAATTTTCTGGGATTGATCCGGACTTTTCCGGGTTGGAACCGTTCACGGTTCTTCCGGAACCGGGTCCTTTTTGGACTTTGGAACCGGTTCTTGAAAATGACGGTTCTTGACAGCTCTATCATTTACTATTAAATTAATAGTGTGTGCAAAACGTCCATAATGTTTTATTTTTAAAATATCTTTAATCGCTTTCTTCATGTTACTGGCATAATAACAAAGAAAAAGCGGTGGCATTTGCTGATCATCTAAGTAGCATTTTTAGCGCTCGAAATATTTCTCAGAATAATTTAATTAACAATTTCGTAAATCAACCCATACATTCTACACCGTTAGGACATTTTTCACCAAATGATGTCTTATGTGAAATAAAAAGAATGAAAAATAGATATTCGCCGGGTATGGACAAAATTACTCCAAAAATGTTAAAAGAATTGCCTACAAAAGGTATTTTATATATAACAAATATTTTCAACGCCATACTTCAATACAATTATTGGCCCACAGCGTGGAAGACTGCAGAAATTATTATGATCGCTAAACCAAACAAAAACCAACACACTGCTAGTTCATACCGTCCTATCAGTCTTTTATCGATATTATCGAAAATTTTGGAGAGACTTTTGTTGCAGAGATTGTCAGAAGATCATCCGAATGATAGTTGGATTCCTCACCACCAGTTTGGCTTCAGAAAAAATCACTCTACAATTCAACAATGCAACAGGACGGTGTCTCGTATTCTTGAAGCCATGAATAGAAAGGAACACAGCGTAGCCGTATTCTTAGATGTCAGCCAGGCTTTTGATAAGGTTTGGCATTCAGGACTCCTATATAAAATCAAAACAACTTTTCCAAACTACTCAAATATCTTAAGCTCATATTTGCTTAATAGAAAATTTAGAATCAAAATTTAAAGATATGACTTCGAGCATCAGAAATATAGAATGCGGGGTACCACAGGGCAGTGTGCTAAGCCCTGTACTTTATCTTCTTTTCACAAACGATATGCCCACAGATGATCTTCTAACCATATGCACTTATGCCGATGACATAGCAATTATTTCATGCAATTCCGATATTAGAACAGCAACTTGTCAGTTACAAAATTATTTATCTAGTCTCGAAAAATGGTTTTTAGATTGGAATATCAAAATCAATATCGAAAAATCTCAGCACATAATTGTTTCTCTAAAACATCACAACAGTCCACCTATCATCATGAACAATTCAATAATTCCACTATGCAATTCTTTTAAATATTTAGGCATACACATTGATTCGAAATTGACATGGAGAACGCACATTGAATATAAAAAGAAACAAATCCAACTGAAAATAAAAGATTTTTACTGGCTTTTTGGGAGGAAATCTGAAATCTCTCTCGATAACAAGGTACTTTTGTACAAAATTATCATAGTGCCCATTTGGACTTATGGAATCGAACTATGGGGTTGCTCATGCAAATCTAACATAAACATCATTCAAAGGTGCCCGAATAAAATACTGCGTATCCTTACTAATGCGCCTTGGTATATTTCGAGTTTTTGCCTACATAAGGATTTGAAAATCTCAACAGTCAACGAAATAATCAAGATTAGAAGTTCATCTTTCAACAATAAATTAATCCAGCATACAAATCCTACAATTCAAGCGATTCACAGACCGATAAGAAGATTGAGCAAGAAATGGCCTTCCGATCTACCAAACACCTAGCCCAATGTCTGCACGCGTCCTGACGTAGTACGCGGCATACATCATCACGTCATCGTTCATTTATGTTATTATTTTTGTATTACTGTTTTAATTTAATTTTTAATTTAACTTTTTTCATTTTATATTCAATGTATTTTTTGTTTTTTTTGTATTTTTTTTTGAAATTGAACGTGAGTTGGAAATAGGCCAAAAACCGCAAGATCGCCATGACATAATAGCCAGAGTATTTCAGCAAAAACTCAAGGTTATGATGGATGTGCTTACAAAGTATCGAGTTTTTGGTGACACACGTTGTTATATGTACTCAGTGGAATGGCAGAAGCGTGGACTACCGCATGCTCATATCCTAATTTGGTTGCTCAATAAATTACATTCAAATGAAGTGAATGACATATCAGCTGAAATTCCTGATCCAGTCACTGATCCCCATCTACACGACATTGTGACGACACAGGTGCATGGACCGTGCGGTGCAATTAAATCCATTATCGGCTAATGGAAAGTGCACAAAACGATATCCGCGACCGTTAGTTGCCCACACATTTACAACGAACGATGGATATACAGTTTATTCGTCGGCGTTCAAAAGAAGATAATGGTCGAACTATCAAAGTTAAAGTTCAAAATCTTGCATCGCTTGCGCATTCAAACTAATAATCCTGATATCCAAATAACCGATAAAATCTACAATGAAGGATTGATTCTGATTGAGAATCAATGCTTGACTATTGCAAACAAGCTACTAATTGAAGTAGGAATGATTGCGCCAAATCGATCGATGCACGATGCATTCAACCAAGAATTAAATCGAGAGCTGCAATACAATGTTGATACATTGCAAGAATTCGTTCGAATTAATGTGCCGTTGCTGAATGAACAGCAAAAACAAGTATACGAAACATTAATGCAAGCGGTGGCCAATAATACTGGTGGTCTATTCTTCCTGGACGCACCTGGAGGAACAGGGAAAACATTTGTCATTTCATTGATTTTGGCCACTATTCGATCAAGATGTGACATAGCTTTGGTGTTAGCATCATCTGGAATTGCAGCGACTCTTCTAGATGGAGGTCGTACTGCACATTCTGCACTTAAGTTGCCACTCAATTTAAACACAATTGATACTCCAACATGCAATATTTCCCGATCCAGTGCAATGGGAAAATTGTTGACGCAATGCAAGCTCATTGTTTGCGATGAGTGCACAATGGCGCACAAGAAATCACTTGAAGCACTTAACTTTACACTGAAAGATCTTCGGCGAAATAACAACATCTTTGGCGGCTTGATGATATTGTTGGCAGGCGATTTCAGGCAGACGTTGCCAGTAATTCCCCGTGGAACGCCTACAGATGAATTGAATGCTTGCCTGAAAGCATCACCGTTATGGAATAACGTAAAAACATTATCGCTAACCACTAATATGAGAGTTCAACTTCAAAATGATCAAAGTGCTGCACAATTTTCCAAACAATTGTTAGCTGTTGGAAATGGGAAAGTCCCAGTTGATGCGACATCTGGATTAATTACTCTTACCAATGACTTTTGCCGATTTGTAGACTCTCAATTAGAACTTATTGAAAATGTTTTCCCAAACATTAGCGAAAATTATCAGAATTATGCTTGGTTAAGTCAACGAGCAATTCTTGCCGCAAAAAATAATGATGTGCACGCATTGAATTTCGCCATTCAGTCAAAAATTGCTGGCGATTTGGTGACATACAAATCCATTGATTCCATAACAAATCCCGATGATGTAGTAAATTATCCAACGGAGTTTTTGAACGCTCTGGAGTTACCAGGATTTCCACCACATAACTTGCAACTCAAAGTTGGCACTGTTATAATGACATTGCGTAATTTGAATCCACCGCAACTTTGCAACGGTACTCGACTTTCAGTAAGAAGACTTATGCCGAATTTGATTGAGGCAACCATTATTAACGGAAAGTACGCAGGTGAAAATGTATATATTCCTCGAATACCAATGATTCCGACTGGTCTTCCGTTTGACTTCAAACGATTACAATTTCCAGTTCGCCTTGCGTTTGCAATGTCAATCAACAAGTCGCAAGGTCAATCGCTTAGTGTTTGCGGTATAAATTTAGAAAATCATTGTTTTTTGCATGGCC